CCTTCAGTTTATCTCTGACCTTGGGATAATTAGGCAAACTGCCAAAGGCTTTTCTTGGCAACAGTTCAGGAACAGAAGACGCTGACAAGAAAGAAATATATCCAAACACGAAGCAAATCTCTCAATGGTTGTTTTCCGGCAAAGAGGCCAAAAGCTGTTGCTGGTCTTTTAAGCCTTATGGGAGGGGCTAATCATCTCTTGGTCCTACTCCTGAGTCGTCCTCTCTGCTTTAGCTGCTCTTGCCTTCTGGCAGCTCTTCTCATATGTGCACTAGGAACAGGCTCCTCCTGTTCCTCTGCCTCTCTACTATCAGCCTCTGGAGGCTCTGAAGTCTGCACATCACTCCCCGATGGCCCTGGCCCCAGCTCTGCCTCCGACGCAGAGCCCTCATCCGGGCCTTCCCCAGCCTCCAGGACTGGCCCCTGTTCTTCCTCACCCTCATTGCTGTCTGACTCCACTGCCAGCTCCGCAGGCTGCTGGTGGACCACAACACCTAATTTGGGTAATAGCAATAGTACTTAGACTTATATACTGCTTTACAGTGCTTTACAGTCCTCTCTAAGCAGTTTACAGAGTCAGCATATTGCTCCCAACAGTCCGGGTCCTCATTTTATCGACCTTGGAATGATGGAAGGTTGAGTCAACCTTGAGCCAGTCAGAATTGAACTCCTGGAGTGAGCAGGGAGTTAGCCCTGCAGTATTGCATTCTAACACTAGGAAGGAAGGAAGGAAGGAAGGAAGGAAGGAAGGAAGGAAGGAAGGAAGGAAGGAGGGAGGGAGGGAGGGAGGGAGGGAAGGAAGGAAGGAAGGAAGGAAGGAAGGAAGGAAGGAAGGAAGGAAGGAATAGCACTTAGACTTATATACTGCTTCATAGTGCTTTACAGCCCTCTCTAAGCAGTCAGTCTCTTGCCCCCAACAATCTGGGTCCTTATTTTACCTACCTCAAAAGGATGGAAGGCTGAGTCAACCTTGACTAATGAAACATCTACAAGAAAACCCAGAGAACACCAAGGACCCTTGATTTCTATTTGGAGCTACTGTACCCCCTTTATTGGTCCCTTTGGGACAACCATGACCTGGATGATTGAGGATCTCTGTAGACATCTAAACTAGGAACCAGAAAACGTGAATGGAATGGAGGTGAGATGTCCGTCTTAAACCACTAACCAGCTTCAGCATGGACACCCCATCAGGATCTCATACCAGTCAACATAGCCAGCTTTTGAGTTAAACAAAATCAGAGCCCGGATAGCTCTGCAGACAAAGGCACTGTAATTTAACACCAGCTGTCTGCAATTAAAGTAAGTTCAAATCCTGCCAGGCTCAAGGTTGACTCAGCCTTCCATCCTTTCTAAGGTAGGTAAATTGAGGACCCAGTTTGTGGGCAATAAGCTGACTTTGTATAAATATACAAAAGTATGAAGGCTATTGCTTAACGCATTGTAAGCCGCCCTGAGTCTCCGGAGAAGGGCGGCATATAAATCAAATTTAAAAAACAACAAAAAAACAAAACAAAACAAAACAAAACAAAAAAACAGAAGAAAGGGGTTTCCTTTGCCAAGCCCAGAAGCTTTTTGGACTTCATCCAAAGGATGGCTTGGCAGGAGAAGCAGCTTCTTGACTTATTTATGGTCCTTCTGCAATCCACTCAAGGGGGTTTCATAACTATACTGTACCATCTCGGGAGGAAGGAGGACGAAAGCAGACAAACTGATGATGTGAAATCATGTCCAAGTGGAATGTTTAAAACCTGATTGGCACATGGGGAGTATGGAATGGGGTGGGGAGAGATCTGAAAGTGGGAGGGGGTGCATGCATACACCTGAGGGTACAAGAGAATGTAGGTGTGAACGAGTGCATTTATGAGCATCAATGAAGTGTGTGGTGCTGGAAAACACACCCTAGAATAGAATATGGATGATGAATGAATTGTATTGTTCCATCCACCCATCCATCCTCTCTATCTCTGTATGTCTGTCTTGTCTCTCTGACTTTCTATCTTTCTATTGTGTTTTCCCCAAAATAAGACCTCCCTGGATAATAAGCCCAATCGGGCTTTTGAGTGCATGCACTAAATAAGCCCCTGCCAAAAAATAAGCCCTCCCCAAAAATATTTAAACGCACGTTTAAATCCCTGCTATCTCCTTTGATTAGGGTTAGGGAGACAGAGCTGGAAATCAAGTAAGACAACAAGAGGAGCCCCATCTTGCTCCACGCACCCCAAAATAATAAGACCTTCCCGAAAATAAGGCCAAGCGCTTATTTTGGGGTTCAAAAAAAATGTAAGACAGGGTCTTATTTTGGGGAAACATGGGTATCTACCTATTGCTGTATCTCTCTGCCTCCCTCCCCCACCCTCTCTCTGGTTGGGGATAGGGGGCATATTTCCATTTTTTTAACTCTTCTCTTCTCTTCTCTTCTCTTCTCTTCTCTTCTCTTCTCTTCTCCTCTCCTCTCCTCTCTTCCCTTCCCTTCCCTTCCTCTCCTTTCTAAAGCTAAAGCTACCTAGTTCCCCAAGTTGTTCATCATATGATTTAGCCTGATCATCTTTGTGGCTCTTCTCTGCACTCTTTCTAGGGCCTCACCCCAGGGGTGAAATCCAGCAGGTTCTGACAGGTTTTGGAGAACAGGTAGTGGAACTTTTGAGTAGTTTGGAGAACCGGCAAATACCACCTCTGGCTGGCCCCAGAGTGGGGTGGGAATGGGGAATTTTGCAGTATCCTTCCCCTGGAGTGGGGTGGGAATGGAGATTTTGCAGTATCCCTTACCTGGGTGGCATATAAATCGAACTAGTAAATAAATAAATAAATAAATAAATAAATAAATAAATAAATATATTTATTTATTTATATTTATTTGTTTTTTCTTTATCCCCATTTTTATTTATAAATAAAATAAATAAATATTTATAAATATTTATATTTATATTTATTTAATTTTATTTATTTATTTATTTTATTTATAAATAAATAAAAAATGGGGATTTTTGCAGTATCCTTCCCCTAGAGTGGAGTGGGAATGGAGATTTTGCAGTATCTCCTTCTCCTTCCTCGCCCACCAAGCCACGCCCACAGAACCGGTAGTAAAAAAAATTGAATTTCACCGCTGCCTCAACCCCTTTTTTATATTCCTGTATTCAACACAAGAAAAGGCCAATATGTTCTGTACGGTTCTAGATCGCAAGAAACCTGGAACAAAGCGTTCAGCAGTCCTAGCAGTGTTTTCTAATTTTGACCCCCAGCGTGAAATATTGGATTCTAACGATTGTGGCATATTTTCTTGTGCTTTGTGGATGATTGGATAGAGATAGTCCTCAACTTGAGCCCAATATTTATGTCGCTAAGTGAGAAATGTGTTCAGTGAGTTTTGCCCCCGTTTTACGGTGTTTCTTGCCACATTTGTTAAGGGACAGGTGTTAAGTTAGCAACATGGTTGTTAAGTGAATCTTGACTTCCCCATTGATTTGCTTGTCTGGTCGCAAAAGGGGATCGCTGCAACCATCATACGAGTCAAGCATCCGAACGTAAATGATATGGGCATGGGGATGCTGTAATGGTCATAAGTGTGAGAAATGGTCATAATAAGTCACTTTTTTCAGTGCCATTGTAACTTTGAATGGTCACTAAACAAACTGTTGTAAGTCAAGGACAATCTGTGTGTATGTGTGTATATGTATGTATGTATATATATATATATATGTTTTCTGAGGTTTTCGCGGGTGTTTGTATGTAGGTCTTTGGTTATTCGGGTTTTCTCCCGCATAAAATTGGAGGTTTCTTGGCAACGTTTCGACAAAGTCTCATTCGTCATCTTCAGGCTGATGTCTTCAGGCTGGCACATTGCTCCTAGAAGCACGAAGCCGAAGACACCAGCCTGAAGATGACTAATGAGACTTCGTCGAAACGTTGCCAAGAAACCTCCAATTTTACACGGGAGAAAACTCGAATAACCAAAGCCCTACATATATGTGTGTGTGTGTGTGTGTGTGTGTGTGTGTGTGTAGTTAATATTTCGGGTTTCTTCCCGTGTAATTGTGGATATATCCCTAAAAGGGTAGAAGCGACGTTTCGGCAGAATCCGAAACTTACATAAACATATATGTATGTATGTATGTATGTATGTATGTATGTATGTATATGTATATGTATATGTATATGTATATGTATGTATATATATATATATATGTATGTATGTATGTATGTATATATTGGCTGCAGACAATAAGGAAGGGAAAATGCATGAAATCTGCTTACATAAATATGCATAAGCTGTCAAGGTTTTGTTAGTAACAGGTGAACAGGGATTAGAGAACGTAAACATGTTTTAAAGAAGCGAACTTGGGAAACAAAATTTCAGATAGTCCTTGACTTACAACGGTTCATTTAGTGACTGTTCAAAGTTATATCGGCATGGAGAAAAAGTGACTTACGACTGTTTTTCACCATTACAACCATTATGGCATCTCCACGATCACGTAATCAAAATGAAGATGCTTGGCAACTGACATGTACTTATGCCGGTTGCAGTGTCCCGGGGACACCTTTGCGACCATCTGACAAACAAAATCAACAGGGAAGCCAGATTCACTTAACAACCGTGTGACGAGCTTAAGCACTGCAGTGATTCACTTAACAACGGTGGCAAGGAAGGTCGTAAAACGGGGCAGGAATCATTTAACAAATGTCTCACTTAGCAACAGTTATTTTGGGCTCAGTTGTGGTCGTAAGGCCAGGACTACCTCTAGTTGGAAATGTAAAAAAAAAGATTTATCTTTGAATCGGGAGTATGTGAAAAATTTGTACTAGAAGCTTAGAGCCCATAACAAGTAGGGTCATCGTACAAAATAATAAATCAAATAATAAAATAAAAATAAGGTTATTATTTATATGTTTATTTGTACTGTGAGGGAGATGAGTAGTTTGATTAAATTTGATGAAATAAATACATTTAAAATATTCCTATGCTGTATTCCTTCCAAAAGCCACGAAATCAAAACAGCACCCATTTTAATCCATGTTTATTTATAAATGTAACATTTACTATAAAAGCAGTTGCATTTTAGACAATTTTCTTACTTCCCAGAGCATTTTAGAATAAATATCATTAATAGAGATTAGTGTAATAATTGGTATTTTGAGACTTTGGTGATCCTGTCCGTAACTGAAGCCATTTTGGCTTACCAGCCATATCAACAAGTATACTGGGTACAGAATTAGTTCTAAATAACAAGAATAATGGGTCACTAGGAAGTGCTGAGAATGAAGTAGATATAAAAATAATTATGACACGGTTATGTCTGCCATCGAAAGAAACGGAAAGCTACATACAGTTTTTGGGAACGCTTAAAAAAAAAACCACCCCGTTACATTTATAATATTGCCATGTAAATCACTCTTTAAAAACATGTGTTTAATATTTCAACTCGCTATATAGTGAATTGTTTTTCTTTCTTGACACTGCTCTTAATTTCCCCCCACCCCCTCAAAACAACTGAAATAATATATGGGTCACATTCACATCAGCCAGAATCAGTGGGGCCTGAAGAGCGAGCGAACTTCTTAAGAGTCATGAAAAATTAAAAATATGAAGGAAAACCGGGGTATTTTAATCTATGCTGGTGATTAATCGGTCATTATGGAGAAATAAAAGAAGCTCTGTAGAAAAGAATATGCGTAGCTCAGGGTTGAACAGAGAAGTGTTGGGTGCTCTCAGAGTTGGGTGGGTGGTGATAGGATATACCGGTTCGTGCGAATCAGTAGCATTATATTACTACCGGTTCGGGCAAACTGGTCTGAACCGACAGCATTTCACCCCGATTGGTTTCCTTGTGGACGTTTCATGACTCAATTAGATCACGTCATCAGTTCCAGATGCTGCTCTAGATACTTGCACCAAACCCCACTCCCTCCTTCCATGGATGGTATAACCTAGTTGGGTCATGAAACGTCTGCAAGAAAAGCAGCCAGCTCAGAAAGCATTAAGGATTCCACAAACAGAAGCTTGGATCCATAACTGATTACCGTAACTCAGATTTTGTTACAGGTAAAGCTGGCTGGCTCCATCTCATAATTTACCTTGAAGAAGGCAACGGGCAGCTACGTTCATGGTGGCATTTTCGCTTCTAGTTTCTTTTATTAAAAAGGCATGAAAAGGGTCGGTCGATCTGTGAGCGCCGATTATTATTTTGCTCTCAATGAACGCAGGTAGGACTTCAATGGGTGCCTTCCTTTCTTCGGGAATTTGGGAAGAGATCCCAAGGTGATTAATGGACTTACTTCTGAGTAAGCCTCACAGACAAAAGAACGCCGAAGTTTTTGTAACTTTGGCCAAGTTTTTTTAAAAACAAGGAACATATCATGTTCACGCCCCCCAAAATCATGTTTTTTGCTCCTTCCAGATGTGCTGATCTGTATATTTTCTAAAGAGCTTAAACACACCCAAGTGTGCAGTGGGTTGTGCCAAGTTGTGTAGATCCACATAAAAGCCCACTGTGATCAAAGAACTTGGCCAAATCTCTTTACATTGTATCCTGGAAACAAAATCATGGTTGCGCATGCACAAATCCAAAAGCTACAAGTACCACTTCCTCGTTCTTCATGTCTCGCCACAAAAGGGGTGGCGAAAATACACACAGAAACCACAATTTAACCCAAAGCACACCACTGGGGTGACTAGCGATTCCCTTACCACCATCCGTACAGATGTCAAAAATATGTACTTATTACAATTAATCTGTATTCCCCACTTCCAAGTTAAACATCCTCCCAAAAAGCAACTTAACGAGAGATGTAAAGGTTTGCAAACAAAAACATCTGTGTTAAGTCAGACACAAAAATGTCCTTTTTCTTTTACAAAGCAGATGTTAACAGCTGTTGCGATGATCAAAGCAATGCCAGTAGCCATTTTTCCTGTGGCCCAAAATAGCGCACAGCCATCCCTTTGGAACATTAAGACATGTTGTGATCTGCCAACGGTCAGCGGAGCTGGCAGCAGAGTCGGACAGTGAGGAGGTTGGGGAGGAACATGGGCCAGTCCTGGGGGCTGGGGAGAGCTCGGATGAGGGCTCTGCGTCGGAGGCAGAGAGGGAGCTAGACAGCAGTGAGGCAGAGGAACAGCTGAAGCCTGTTCCCAGTGTGCACATGCACAGAGCTGCCAGAAGACAAGAACAACTAAGAAAGCAGGGTCGACTCAGGAGTAAAGCCACACCTTGGAGGTGATTGGCCCCTCCCACAGGAAACAAAAGAGGAACGAACGGGGAGTGGGCTTTTGCAGGAAACAATTCATTCGTTCAGTGAATCACACATTAAGTGTGAAAAACGGTCCTAAGTCACTTTTTTCAGTGCCGTCGTAACTCTAAATGGTCACTCAGCGAATGGTTGTAAGTCGAGAACTATCTGTACTGGCATGCGCAGAAGGTAAAAAACACATTACTTTCTGGTTATAACACCCGGGCGGTGTCATCGCTGAACCATCAGCCAAGATCGCTACTGGATCGTGCGATCCGGTCCGATCCGGGAACATTTCACCCCTGAATTCAGGGTTTCTCTTAAGGTGGATTTAAGATTTATTACAAGGGGAGCCCATTTTACACTCTCACCACTTCTCTGGAGAGCAGAGGTGGGTTTCATATAATTTTACCACCAATTCGCCCGAACCGGCTGAATACCACCACTGGCAGAGAAGGATCGGAAATTTTGGAGATCTCCTCAAATTATTCCCTACCACTTTAAACTGGTTACTGAGATTTCAACCTCATTGTAGAATAACTGCAAAAGGGACGTGGTAATGTTATTTATTTTCCCCGGTAAAAAAATGAAACACAGAGTTTTATCTTAAGTTTAAACCTGAAACCAGGGGTGGGTTCTAAATTTTTTTACTACCGGTTCTGTGGGCGTGGCTTATTTTGTGGGCATGGTTTGATGGTCATGTGACAATTCTTTAGGATTTAGCAGAGGTACTGGTCTACCAGGCTTTTAACTGCTTGCAGAGCTGTACCAGTCTACTCATTTGTTTTTGGAGGCACAGGTCTACTCATTTGTTTTTGGAGGCACCGGTCTACTCATTCGTTTTTGGAGGCACCGGTCTACTCATTCGTTTTTGGAGGCACCAGTCTACTCATTCGTTTTTGGAGACACCGGTCTACTCATTCGTTTTTGGAGCGTCCCGTCTACCATCACACTGCCTTTTAACACTGATCAGCTGTAGGGCGGCCCTTTGAAACCCCGCGGCAAGAGTTTAAACAGTTTTTTTCCTTCTAGCCGATCAGCTGGGACTCGGGAGGCAGCGAATAGATTGGGGCGGGGCCAAATAAAAGGTAAGAATAATGCGGGCGGGGCGGGAGGGCCCAGCTCCTGAACAAAGAGAACCGTTTCGGTGACATCATATTGTCACCGCTACCGGCTCGGCCGAACCGGGCTGAACCGGGAGGAACCCACCACTGCCTGAAACGGTTAGCAAAAGTCGGCTTAAAAAACAAACAAACCAGGTGCCATCTGTCAGATAGTTGGGGAGAACCGCCGAATGTTTATAGGATTGGTTTTTGTGAAAATGCCAACATTATATGTAGATGATCTGTTACTACAAGAAGCCCGGTTTTAGGTTTTCGGAGACGGCGTGACTGAAGGGGAAATAATTTATGGAGAGAATCCTTACCCTCCACGGAAGGCAATATTTAGTAAAAGGTTTCAAGAATTACAACGTGTTTTATCAAACTAGTCTGTATTAAAAAAGTTACCTCTTTAGTAATAAACGGAAAAGTTGATCTCTATGATGCTGCTCAACCTCCTCCCGAGAACTCAGTTAATGAAAGTAATATATTGGCATATTAGAGGGTATCTACAAAGTTTTGCAGATATCTGCATATCTGCTAAGTTTGCGTTAAAACTTCAAATTCTCCGCTTCTAGGAAATGAAAACATCATTTATTGCCTCTTCGTTCCTTTCAAAATATCGGGTTTGAAAAACCAAGCGCGACCGATATTTTGGAAGGCGCTTTGCTGGGAGGGAAAAGTGCTTAACCGTGCAGCCGCAGACTTCATACATGTAACGTAAGTGAACGCAGGAAATCAAAGGATGTATCGCGTGAAGAAAGAGGCGTTTGAGCCTTTCGACCCACGAGCTTGGAGAGGGAGTCCAAGAGCTACGGAGTCCATGGATTTGAGCTCTTACACGCCATTATGGCAAACAGCCTCAAGACTCAAAGGATGATGGTCCTCCTTGGAGAACATCTTACGCGGAACTGAGATCCGGGTCACAAAGTGGTTGGCTGGCCAGCAGCTACATTTTGGGAGAGAGAGAGGGAGAGAGAAGGGAGAGAGAGAAGGATAAGAGAGAGAGAAAGGAGAGAGAAGGGGCAGAGAAAGAGAGAGAGAGAAGGAGGGAGGGAGAGAGAAGGGGAGAGAGAAAGAGAGAGAGAAGAGACAGAGAGAAAAGAAGAGGGGAGAGAGAAAAAGAGTGAGAGAGAAAGGAGAGAGAAGGGTAAGACAGATAGAAAGGAGAGGAAGGGGAAAGAAAAAGAAAGAGAGGGAAGGAGAGACAGACAAAAGGGGGAAAGAAAAAAGGAGAGAGAGAAGGGCAAGAGAGAGAGAAAGGAGAAAGAAGGGGCAGAGAAAGAGAGAAAAAAAAGGAGCGAGAGAGAAGGGGAGAGAGAAAGAAAGAGAAAAGGGGAGAGAGAAGGGACAGAGAGAAAAGGAGAGGGGAGAGAGAGAGAGAAAGAGAAAGGAGAGAGAGAAGGGTAAGACAGAGAAAGGGGAGAGAAAGAGAGAGAAACAAGAGAGAGAGAAGGAGGGAGGGGGAGAGAAAAAGAGTGAGAAAAAGAGAGGGAAGTTGAGAGAGAAAAGGGGAGAGAGAGAGAAAGGAGGGAGAAAGAGAAGGGGAGAGAAAGAGAGAGAGAGACAGAAAAGAGAAGGAGGGAGGCAGAAAGTAGGAGAGAGAGAAAGGAGAGAGAAAGAGGGGGAGGGAAGGAGAGAAAAGGGGAGAGAGAGAGAGAAGGGGAGAGACCGACAGCAAGAGGAGAGAGAGAGAGAGAGAGAGAGAAAGGAGGGAGAGAGAGAAGGGGAGAGAAAGAGAGAAAAAGAGAGAGAAGGAGGGAGGGAGAGAGAAGGAGAGAGAAAAAAAGATTGATAAAAGAGACAGTGGGAGAGAAGGAGGGAGGGAGGGAGAGAGAGAAAAGGGGGAGAGAGAGAAAAGGAGAGAGGGAAGAAAGAGGAGAAAGAAAGGAGGGAGGGAGGGAGAGAGAGAAGGGGGAGAGAGAAAGAGTGAGAGGATTTATTTACATCATAAACAACAATGCTACAAACTGAAACACACCACGATTAACCTAAAAGCCAAGATGAACTCCCCGCCAAAGGAACAACAGGCTGAAATAAAAGAGGACAAATTTGCAAATGCCCGGCTTTCTCCATTTTTTTTTTTTTTTTTTGAGTTGAGAATTTCCAACTCTTATGGAAAGCAATGCTGTGTTTCCCCGTCTCTATTCAACTACAGGTATTTGCCGCTATTGCAAATAAAGCATTTTACCTTGGTGTGCTCCTACCTATAAGGCTCAGTTGGGGCAGACAGGCTAAGAAAATGCCGGAAACCACCTTTCTGGCTGAAACAGTAAAAGAATCAAGATGGATTTTTTGTGTGTGCTAAGAATGGCTTTGGATACTTACTTCTGGATTTGATGTAACAATCACTGCAGGTGAGGAGGCCGTTTTTGATCCGGACGTCCGTTCCGGTTGCTGCGTCTCCAAGTTGTCCCTTACAAATTCCGCACTACGCGCGGAAAAAAAGAAGGACGCATATTTTTTATTTAGCGGCTGTTAACGGCAATTCTACTTAGAATAGAATAACAGAGTTGGAAGGGGCTTTGGAGGTCTTCTAGTCGTACCCCCCCGGTCACGAGACACCTACCCTGAAGCACTGAATATGGAAAAAAAGACCAAGGCTTTCGATAATCATGGCGGCTCCTTTTCCGAGGGGGAGCCCACAGTTGGAACAGAGTTTCTTCCCACTGACGGATCTGAAACGATAAAACGGGGGTTGAAGTCTTTCCGGGTGACTTACGACAATCCAGAAACCCTCAACTTAAAGGACCAGAATCGAGCGCATCATTTCCGTGGCGAAGTGAAACGTCGGTTAGGTGGGTTTTGCTTGCCCCCTCACCCCCATTTTACGACTTTCCTTGCCACGGTTGCTATAAGCCAGGGGTGTCAAACTCAATTTCATTGAGGGCCGCATCAGGGTTGGATTTGACCTGAGGGGGGGAAAGGATGGGTGTGGCCAGGAGGGGCGCGGCCAATTCGACGTGACTCATGTCGGGGAGCGCTCTGCCAGCGAAAATGGGCTCCCGAGCTCCGTTATCAGCTGCGACGGCCTCCTGCAACCCTCAGCCAGCGAAAATGGAGCTCGAGACGGCTGCATGGGATCCTCCCGAGATCCGTTTTCGCTGGCAGAGGCACTGAGGGCTGATCCTTCACTGTTTCCAGGGTGCCCCCATGGGCCATTTTTTAACGTGCTTTCGAACTGCTAGGTTGGCAGAAGCTGGGACAAGGAATGGGACCTCACCCCGTTATGCGGCACTCGGGATTCGAACCGCTGAACTGCCGACCTTTCGATTGACAAACTCAGCATCTCAGCCCCTGAGCCACCGCGTCCCTTTTTTATAAACGTTACAAATAAAATAAATATAGATCTGTACAGCATAGGTCCACGACGGCATCAATTAAACTTTAGGTGTGTAATTGGCTGGCAAAATGTTTCAGTGGGCCTTGTTACCTGTTAGACGATTGGCTTTGGACGGTGGGAGAACGTGGGGACGATGGGCCAGATCTGGAGCTGCCTTGGGAAGTTGGCCTAGAGTATAAAAGAAGAAATGAATTCCTAGTAGTAAAGCTCAAGGACCTCACCAAGCCATGGAGGCCAACAAGACAGTATGTGACTTCCACAAACATCACCCCCAAAATATAGTGGGGGTGAATTTCCAACGGTGTAACTTTCTGCTTTATAAAAAGGGTGAGCGTGGGACAGTGGCGAAATCCAAATTTTTTTTACTACCGGTTCTGTGGGCGTGGCTTGGTAGGCGTGGCAGGGGAAGGATACTGCAAAATCTCCATTCCCGCCCCACTCCTGGGGGAAGGATATTGCAAAATCCTCATTCCTCCCCACTCCTGGGGGAAGGATACTGCAAAATCCCCATTCCCACTCCACTCCAGGGGAAGGATACTGCAAAATCCCCATTCCCTCCCCAGTCCTGAGGGAAGGATACTGCAAAATCCCCATTCCCTCCCCACTCTAGGGGAAGGATACTGCAAAATCTCTATTCCCACCCCACTCCAGGGGAAGGATACTGCAAAATCCCCATTCCCTCCTCACTCCTGGGGGAAAGATATTGCAAAATCCTCATTCCTCCCCACTCCTGGGGGAAGGATACTGCAAAATCCCTATTCCCACTCCACTCCAGGGAAGGATACTGCAAAATCCCCATTCCCTCCCCAGTCCTGAGGGAAGGATACTGCAAAATCCCCATTCCCTCCTCACTCCAGGGGGAAGGATACTGCAAAATCCCCATTCCCACCCCACTCCAGGGGAAGGATACTACAAAATCCCCATTCCCCCTCACTCCAGGAGAAGGATACTAAAAAATCCCCATTCCCTCCCCACTCTAGGGGAAGGATACTACAAAATCCCCATTCCCTCACCACTCTAGGGGAAGGATACTGCAAAATCTCCATTCCCACCTCACTCCAGGGGGAAGGATACTGCAAAATCCCCATTCCCTCCCCACTCTAGGGGAAGGATACTGCAAAATCTCTATTCCCACCCCACTCCAGGGGAAGGATACTGCAAAAATCCCCCATTCCCTCCTCACTCCTGGGGGAAAGATATTGCAAAATCCTCATTCCTCCCCACTCCTGGGGGAAGGATACTGCAAAATCCCCATTCCCTCCTCACTCCAGGGGGAAGGATACTGCAAAATCCCCATTCCCACCCCACTCCAGGGGAAGGATACTACAAAATCCCCATTCCCTCCTCACTCCAGGAGGATACTACAAAATCCCCATTCCCTCCCTACTCCTGGGGGAAGGATACTGCAAAATCCCCATTCCCTCCCCACTCTAGGGGAAGGATACTGCAAAATCCCCATTCCCTCCCCACTCTAGGGGAAGGATACTGCAAAATCACCATTCCCTCCCCACTCCAGGGGAAGGATACTGCAAAATCTCCATTGCCACCCCACTCCAGGGGAAGGATACTGCAAAATCCCCATTCCCTCCCCGCTCCTGGGGGCAGGATACTGCAAAATCTCCATTCCCACCCCACTCTGGGGCCAGCCAGAGGCGGTATTTGCCGGTTCTCCGAACTGCTCACAATTTCTGCTACCAGTTCTCCAGAACCTGCGGGATTTCACCCCTGGTGTGGGAACGAGCTGCCCTCAACTTACAGAAAAGAAGCAGGTTGCAAATTTTCAGCCGTTGATCAGCGACCTCATCATATCATAGTCGGGCCTGCTCAAATCTCGGAGCTCCAGACCTGCGTTAGCAGATCTGCAATGTTTCACTGACATCTACCGACCAAATTCAGTACTGTTGAGATCTTTCTCCAGAAAAAAACTAGCTCTCTTTGGATGGGAGAAGCCAGAAGATTCCAGAGAGGAGACTTGTCTTCAAGTCAACTCAACAGGTTGATCCTAGATTGTTTTGGATTCTGACGTCTCCGTGGTCACGTGGCCGGCATGACTCAACGCCAAAGGCGCACGGAACACTGTTAAATTCCCACCAAACGTGGTCTCTTATTTTTCTACTTGCATTTTTTTTTACGTGCTTTCGGACTGCTAGGTTGGCAGAAGCTGGGACAAGTCACGGGAGCTCACCCCGTTCCGCGGCACCAGGGATTCGAACCGCTGAACTGCCGACCTTTTCGATCGACAAGCTGAGCGTCTTAGCCCCTGAGCCACCGCGTCCCTTTCTATTCTATAATCTGGCCTTAAATCAGATGGAAAGGGAATTAGAAAATCAGTTTCACCTAAGCCGTGTTGGCTAAATTTAGGGTTAATGTTTACCAGCCCTCTTCTCTGGTGTTTAATCCATCTATCTAAATTCTTTAAAAATAAATCAATAAGTAAACAAAAAGAACTTGGCGGGTATTTGATTCTGCAATCTCTCGTCTGGTTTCTGATGGGTTACATCCGGGAACTTCAATCCAAGATATGCCATTTCTACGGACTGTCTGCTCCGATGTCAGTTCTGCTATAAATTAAATGTTTACAAGCTGCCCAGCATGGAACCGGAACATTCAAAATGCACTTACCTCTTAACTTCTTTTGGGGAACTGACCGGCTGGCTTAAATTATACCCCGGCTGTGAATCTTTTTGTCTGATGTCTGAAATGCCAGGACTCCGTTCTGCTGGTAGTGGTTGGTTCCACAGGACATCTGAACGGGAAGGTTTTAAATTAGGGATTGAGATGCACAGAGCAGTTCATAAGGAAAGCGAGTCTGAACTCTACATAGTTATGCAGGAGGAGGAGGGGGAGGAGGAGGAGGAGGAGGAGGAGGAGGAGGAGGAGGAGGAGGAGGAAAAGAAAAAGGAGGAAAGGGGAGAAGGGTGGAAGGGAAAGGAAGAGGAGGAGCAGGAGGATGGGAAGAAAAGAAGAAGGATGGGAGAGAGAGAGAGGGAAGGAGGAGGGAGGGAGGGAGGAAGGAAGGAAGGGAGGGAGGGAGGGAGGGAGAGAGAAAGAAAGAAAGAAAGAAAGAAAGAAAGAAAGAAAGAAAGAAAGAAAGAAAGAAAGAAAGAAAAAGGTAAGAAGGAAGGAAGGAACAAAAGAGGAGGAGGAACAAAAGGATGGGAGGGAAAGAAGGATGGAAGAGACAGAGACAGAAAGAAAGTGAGGGAAAGAGAAAGAAAGAAAGAAAGAAAGAAAGAAAGAAAGAAAGAAAAAAGGAAGAAAGAAAGGAAGAAAGGAAGAAAGAAAGAAAGGAGGAGGAGGAGGAGGAAAAGGATGGGAGGGAAAGAAGGATGGAAGAGACAGAGACAGAAAGAAAGAGAGGGAAAGAAAGAAAGAAGAAAGAAGAAAGGAAGGAAGAAAGAAAGGAAGGAAGAAAGAAAGGAGGAGAAGGAGGAGGAACAAAAGGATGGGAGGTAAAGAAGGATGGAAGAGACAGTGACAGAAAGAAAGAGAGGGAAAGAGAAAAAAGAAAGGAAGGAAGAAAGGAAGAAAGAAAGAAAGGAAGGAAAAAGAAGGAGGAGGAGGAAAAGATGGAGGTAAGAAGGATGGAAGAGACAGTGAAAAGAAAGAGAGGGAAAAAGAAAGTAAGAAAGGAAGGAGGACAGAGGAAGGAAGAAGGAAGGAAGAGAAGGAGAAGAGAGGAAAGAAAAAAGAAAGAAAGAAAAGAGGGAGAGAAGACAGAAGAAAGAGAGTGAGAGAAAGAAAGAAAAGAAGGAAAGAAAGAGAAGGAAAGATAAGGAAAAGGAAAGGAGGAAGAGGAGGAGGGCTTTTCAAAATTGTACAGAATCAAACTATTTTGTCTTTTAAGGGTGGAAATAAACTTACAGCTCAGACCGAACTGAGAAATTCTGGGAAAGAAGGGGCGGGGGGGGGCATCCTTCTTTACCTCCCATCCTTTTCTTCCTCCTCCTCCTCCTTTCTTTCTTTCTTTCTTCCTTCCTTCCTTCCTTCCTTCCTTCCTTCCTTTTTCTTTCCTTCCTTTCTCTTTCCCTCTCTTTCTTTCTGTCTCTGTCTCTTCCATCCTTCTTTCCCTCCCTTCCTTTTGTTCCTCCTCCTTTCTTTCTTCCTTCCTGAACCCAAAAGAGGAAAGGACTTCAAAAAGCCCGCTAGCACGTTTCACATAACTCTACTTCATTTACCGTTGACATTTCCACGCTAGTCTGCATTTTACCGCTCCAGAAGTTCAGTTCAAACTTGATGCAAGGATTCATGCATTTCTTCCCACCAGGTAGATACAACACCGGTGAGGAGAAAAACGAGATAAGTGTAGTTAAAAAGCCAAAACTTTTGATATTTTCAAGTTTTTTAAAAGCACAGGCATAAAACCACCACCCACCTGGGCATAGTGGCAGAGACATGTTCTTGGGTGATCTGTCTCCTGGGCTGGGGATTTGCTCTTTCTGTGTCCAATTCAGGCCTTCGAGATATTCTTCCTGATTCACAGTGCTGAGGAGCAGAAAACATATTGTAGAAAGGTGGAAAAAGTAAAGGTAAAGGTTCCTCTCGCACATACGTGCTGGTCGTTCCCGACTCTAGGGGGCAGTGCTCCTCTCCATTTCAAAGCCGAAGAGCCAGCGCTGTCCGAAGACGTCTCCGTGGTCATGTGGCCGGCATGACTCAACGCCAAAGGCGCACGAAACGCTGTTTACCTTCCCACAAAAGGTGGTCCCTATTTTCCTACTTGCATTTTTTACCTGCTTTCGAACTGCTAGGTTGGCAGAAGCTGGGATAAGTCACGGGAGCTCACCCCGTTACGCGGCACTAGGGACTCGAACCGCTGAACTGCCGACCTTTTCGATCGACAAGCTCAGCGTTTTAGTCACTGAGCCACCACGTCCCTTTTAGAAAGGAAAACAATACGGCTAATCCTCGATTTACAGCAGTTCATTTAGTGACCATTTGAAGTTACAATGGCCCTGAAAAAAATAACTTATAACCATTTTTTTTACACTTACGACCTCATGGTCACGGGATCAGAATTCAGACGCTTAGCAACTGATTCACATTTATGACGGGGGTGGGGTGTGGGGTGTGGGGGGTCACGTGATCCCCTTTTGCGACCTTCCGACAAGCAAAGTTAATGGGGAAGCCCGATTCACTTAACAACCGTGTGACTTAACTACCGATTCACCCGAACCGGCTGAATCCCGGTTCCACTGGATATGTTCCTTATGAAATCTCTTTTGTTTTTACACACCTCGCGTTCTCCTCTCGCGGTTGGTACTCCTTGTATTTTGCGCCATCTTGTTCACAGGATAACGTCTTCAGTTTTGCCTCTTCGTTTGGCTTCTTATCGTCTTCCGAGTAACTTAGGTCAATCAAATTCTACCAAAACAAATAATAGGTTATAAGGTTTACCTCAGAGGGCCGACATCTTCCCCTCAGCGGGCTACAAGAGCTAAGCCTTTAAAGCCACAATTTGGTATCCTACCTGTCTAAGAATTCAATCTCATTTACCATCTTATTAACCAAACCATCTATCTGTTGCTTCTTGTCCTGTCTTCTTTTGCTTTGGAGAATAAGTTGACCCCCCTTTTTTCTGTGGCAGCCCCTCAAATATTGGAAGACTGCTATCATGTCACTCCTAGTCCTTTCTCTTTGTTAGACTAGACATTCCCAGTTCTTCAACCGTTCTTCACATACATTTTTCTTAAAGGCTAGGTTAAAATAATAACTTTATAGCAATAGCGCTTGGATTTATATACCGCTTCACAGTGCTTTTACAGCCCTCTCTATGCGGTTTACGGAGTCAGCCTCTTGCCCCCAACAGTTTGGGTCGTCATTTGACCGACCTCGGAAGGATGGAAGGCTGAGTCAACCTTGAGCCGGTCAGGATTGAACTGCTGGCAGTCGGCAGAGTTAGCCTGCAATACTGCATTCTAACCACTGGGAAAGAAGGAAGGAAGGAAGGAAGGAAGGAAGGAAGGAAGGAAGGGGAAGGAAGGAAGGAAGGAAAGAAGAAGAGGAAGGAAGGAAGGAAGGAAAGAAGGAGGAAGGAAGGAATGAAGGAAGGAAGGAAGGAAGGACGAGTTCAACCAATTGCTCCCAACAAACCAGACCTCCGGACTTTTCGCTCCCAACAAACCAGACCTCCGGACTTTTCGTCGGGCCCTGAAAACTCATTTATTTCACCTAGCCGGGCTGGCTTGATCCCATCCGTTTCGGTTTTAATTTGAAATTGGTTTTAATTGGGTTGTTTTAAATTGTGGGCCGAAATGATTTAATTACCTTTTAAACTGTTTTTTAAATTTTGTATGCTCTGTTTTATCTTGGCTGTTCACCGTCCCGAGTCCTGCTGGAGAAGGGCGGTATACAAATCAAATCAAATCAAATCAAATAAATAATAAATAAATCCGGGTCCTCAATTGACCGACCTCGGAAGGATGGAAGGCTGAGTCAACCTTGAGCTGGTCAGGATCGAACTCCTGGCAGTCGGCAGAGTTGGCCTGCAATATTGCATTCTAATCACCGCACCACCATATTCTATAAGGTATCGTCTTATAAAAGCTTATATTTTTTGGGCATCACCCGTTTTAGCTTTAAATTCCACTTGTGGACCTACCATAGTCCTGTTGCCATCGGTCAGAGAAGACGACGTAGACAAGGGTTCTGTAGAGCCTGAAGCCAACATGAACGGAACCACCGTATCTTCAAGAATCTTGCGTTCCTACAGAAGAGGAGATGATCAAAGTCCATGAAGATTCTCAAGTCATCCAGGTGGAGTTGTCTGGAAGTTGAGTCATGGCAACTGCGATTGTTCTGCCCCAGCTATGGACCCCAAAGAACGCAGCACACACAAAGTCCGTTCAAACCTTAGTTTACTAAATAAACCAGTCTTTTACAACAACGGCTGTTAATTAATTGCATTAACAGCCGCCAAGAATTCAAAGAATAATATTGAAAGCTTACTATGGTTGGCAGAATGCCCAGAAGCAATTTGCAGGAAGCTGATAAGATAAGCAAGACAAGACACAAAGGTATGTGAACCAAGTTGTTCCCTGCAAATTGCTTCAGTCGGCGTTCCTCCTTAAATAGGCTAAGGGAGTGGCCAATTAGCCCCAAGCCTTACTCTCGAGGAGACCTCCTCCTGAGGAGCCACTCGGCAGCTCTGCGCGCACGTGCATCGAGAAGAGGCTCCTCCTCTTCGTCCTCTTTACTTAAGGGAGCTTCTGGAGGTTCTGAAGGCCCTGGCTGAATCCCCGCCTCTGGCACCACATCTTCTCCAGCCTCCTCATTGTCTGACTCGAGTGCCAGCTGGTGCAGCACCACACCAGCCTCCTCGCTGTCTGAATCAGCTACTAGCTGCACCGGCCGCTGACGGCGACTTCTTTTCTTTTTTTCATTTGGAACATTTCACTGCTTATCCAAGTAAGTTCTTCAGGCAGTTTCTTCGCTACTTGGATAAGCAGAGAAATGACTCAACGTCCAGACATGGTCGGAATTAAGAGTCTTTTGAAAGAAAAAGCCTTACAAATAAAGTCAAGCATACAGGTATATATCTATGGAGATTCTCAATCATTCAGATCATGATTGTCCCAAAGTGCTTTTTCAAGAGGCAACTGGACTTTTTGGTTTTTTCTTTGAAGACGTTTCGCTTCTCATTCCAAGAAGCTTTTTCAGCTCTGACTGGATGGTGGGGAATGGAAGGATTTATACTCCTTGCAGAAAAGTTGGTCATTTGCATCCTTCTAGAGAGTCATTGAGGACACTTGGAGGTTTGTCTGTGTCTTCAGGGTCACCTGAGTAGTGCGAATAGGTGTGGAGCCTTCTTGGAAGTGCTGAAAGGACCGTGTTGTAGACTCCATGCCCATTTGCACCACTCAGGTGATCCTGAGGACACAGAGAAACCTCCAAGTGGCCTCAACAACTCTCTAAAAGAACACAAATGACCAACTGTCTGCAAGGAATCAAAATCCTTCCGTCCCCATCATCCAAGTCAGAGCTGAAGAAGCTTCTTGGATGAGAAGCGAAACGTCTTCAAAGAAAAACCAGAACATTCCAGTCGCCTCTTCAAAAACAGGTAGTCCTCGACTTACGACTGCAGTTGAGCCCAAACTTTCTGTCGTTAAGTGAGACATGTGTTCAGTTGAGTTTTGCCCTCTTTTGACGGCTTTCCTGGTCGCCGTTGCAAAGTGAATCGCTGCGGTTGATAAGTTGGCAACCCGGCTTGTTAAGTGAATCTTGGCTTCCCCTTTGACTTTGCTTGTTGGAAGGTCACAAAAGGGATCACACAGCAGCGGTCATAAGTATGAACCGGTTGCCAAGCATCTGAATTTTAGTCGGACGATCGTGGGGATGCTACTAAGGTCGTAACTGTGAAAAACGGCCCTAAGTCGGTTTTTTCAGTGCCGTTGTAACTTTGAATGGTCACTAAACGAGGACCAATTGCACACAATTCAAATGTGTTCAGGCTAACCTTCTACAAAATAAATTTAAAAAAGGGGAGAAAAAAATTAAAATACTTTTGGGAATAAAATTACAAAAGGTCAAAAGAGCAAGGGTGTGTATTGAGCTGGAGGCACATTCCCCGCCTGCCCACAATCACACATCGGACTTCGTACCTCTTCGTAGTATTTGCGTTCCTCTTCTTCAACTTCCTTCTGTGCCTTTTCCCACTCTTTTTTCAACTTCTCCTGCTCTTTCTGATACTTTTCCTAAGGGAAGAGTAGTAACGCAAGCTGTTCAGCAGGAATCCTGGCCCAACGTGGTAGAACTCAGCTGGATCTATGGAAGAGCGCCTAGCAAAGCTTTCTTTCAAAACTTTCTCTTTTTAAAAAATGTTTTTTATATAATTTTATTTAAAGTTTTTAACATCCATAAGTGCTTAGTGTATTGTCTGAGTCGATGTATTTTATACACAACACCAATAACAATACTATTTAAGTGTACATAATCATAATCTTTCAACTAACATTTACACATACGTGGTAATTATAATAAATTCTATGATATATCTGTATACATAACACTATTTTCCCAATTTCTACTTTCTACCCTTTTTTCTAACCCTTAATGAAACAGCCACCATATTAAGAGGTATACTATGTCTATCCATCATCTCTTGCCCTTTTTAAAGTTTTTTCTTTAACATCCATAAGTGTGCTTAGTGAAGAGTGTATTGTCTGGGTCGATGTATTTTATACACAATACCAATAACAATACTATTTAAGTGTACATAATCATAATCTTTCAACTAACATTTACACATACGTGATAATTATAATATATTCTATTATGTATCAGTATACGTAACACTATTTTCCCAATTTCTACTTTCTACCTCTTTTCTCTAACCCTTAATGAAACAGCCACCATATTAAGAAGTATACTATATCTATCCATCATCTCTTGCCCTTTTTAAAATTTCAACTCTTATTTTGATAAATCTCCCATGCTTCTCCCTTGGGATCATGTATCTCCTTACATCACTCTTATTTAATCTAAGTATTTCATCTACCTCAGGCGTGGGATTCACAAAATGTTACTACGGGTTCGCCCAACACCGGAAATGTGAGTGTGTGCGTGCCACCTGCACATACGTGTGACGTCAAACAACACGGCAATTCGCTCATGCATGCCATCCACACATGCATGTGGCATCAAAAATACAGCGATATAGGATGGGATTGAGCCCCCACCCGCAGGTCGCCACTACCGGTTTGCCCGAACTGATCCGAACCGGCTGAATACCACCTCTGATCTACTTCAACACCGTTGGATCTTTAGAGCACCTGTCAGTAATTCTTTCATCGCTTTTGGGAGGTCTTTCTCTTTATTCTCTTCTATATTTTGAACGCTTAAAGAGTAACCTGTCTGCTCCATTTTTGAAATTATTACTATCTCTTCCATGTCTTTATCCGCTTGTATCATTTTCTCTCTTTTTTTTTAGGGAGAAAAATAAACACAGACCATTAGACCAAATTACAGAGCTGAAGAAACTTCTTGGAATGAGAAGCGAAACGTCTTCAACAGGGGTGAAATCTACTTACCTTCCTTACCGGTTCGGAAGCACATGCGCCGTGCGCAAGTGACCTTCTGCGCATGTGCAAAACCTTCTGCACATGCGCAGAAGGTTAAAAAAACATTACTTCCTGGTTAAAACGAGGAAGTAATGACACCTGGGTGACGATCACTACTGGATCGCCGAACCACAGGGAAAAAATCGCTACCGGATCGGGCGATCCGGTCTGATCTGGGAGCATTTCACCCCTGGTTTTCAAAGAAAAACCAGAAAGTCCAGTTGCGTCTCGAAAAAAAAAAAAGTACCTTTGGGACATGTGTTCGATATGTTAGCTGCTTCAAGTTATTTGTAAAAATAACACAGGCGGGATACAGAGAGTGGTGGACTGCTGGTGGTTTAACAACCAGTTTGGTGAGTGCGTGCCTAAAGAACTTGCGAGCAGCGCTGAAAATGGAGCATTTAGAAGCTCAGCTGCTTACCTTCCAAGTCAGCAATGGTAAATAGAACAGCGGGGGGGGAATCAGCTGTGCCGCGCGATTGAGATGAGCTAGAAGGCAGGAAATAAAAGAAAGGATAGGGCGGGCGCGGGTGGGTGGAGCCAGGTGATTGTCGGTCCTACCAGTTTGCCCGAACCGGCTGAATACCATGTCTGGATACAAATAAATAGCCATCTCACCCTTCTGAAAACAAGCATATATGAGAAAAAAACCCAAAACCCAGATCTACCTGAAGTAGACGTTCCTGTTCCTGCTGCCACCGTTCCTGGCGCCGACGTTCCTCTTCTGGATCCCAAGACCAGCAGGTCGAACGCTTCAATAAGTTTGATCAAATATACCATTAGGAGCATATAATACAGGCCCCCTGAATGTTTTACCCCCAAAACTTTCCCAGGTATCTGTTCTGTCCCCATCCCCACGCACACACACCAACAGACGTTCAAGAGTTAAAGACCAAACCAGCCGGCAAAATCCTTTTCCTTAAGATAACGGAACTTGGCAACAACCTAGTGGCTGCCTGCCAAGAGTTTATTATTTACAAAGAGGAGAGATAACTTCTCCCACTTCTGATACATCAAAGGAAAGCAGCTCAATAATTACGGAATTAAATCAAGTCCAGAGATACTCCAGCAAAGTCTTAAAGCAAAAGTCCGGCAATGCAGAATGGCGTGGAAGCTTTCAGCTTTGTTCGTCACAAGGTTTGACTGGCCACCACGCTCCCTTTTATACCCTGTGGGGTGTGGTCCAGTGACTCAGCCTAATCTCGGGCACGCCCTTTCTTCTGTTGCATGCGCTTATCTCTGCGACACTGGCATGGATCCAGCCAAGACTCATTACCCTCATCACTGTCCATCTGTGGCTGCGTGGACGTGCTTGGCCCTGGCCCTATCTCTTGCCCTTCGGCAAACACCGAAGGCATTGCCAGAGAGGAGGGTCCTGGAGAGGGAGGCCTTGCCAACTCCTCCCCTTCACTCTCGGAGTCCTCTCCTGACGATGACACAGGCTCCGGTAACGGAGCCACAACAGTATCTTACAGCAGGGGTATCAAACTTGATTTCATTGAGGGCCGCATCAGGGTTGTGTTTGACCTCGGGGGTGTGGGGATGTGGCAAGGGGGGGGGGCGTGGCTAGCTTCATGTCACTCGTGTCGGGGGCGCCTGTGGTGGCCCAAGCGCTCTGCCAGCGAAAACAGACTCCTGACCTCAGTTTTTGACCAGGACGGTCTCCTGCAGCCTTCTGCCAGCGAAAATGGAGCTGGGGTGGGGGGGGGCAGTGTGAGGCCTTCACAATCTCCGTTTTTGCTAGGACGGCCTCCTGAAGCCCTCTGCAGCGAAAATGGAGCCCTCCCGAGCTCTGTTTTATAAATATGACCCTTGCTGTCCCCCAAGGTCACATGATCCCCTTTTGCAACCTTCTAACAAGCAAAGTCAATGGGGAAGCACCAGATTCACTTAACAACTGACTTATCAGCTCAGTGATTCACTTAATAACCATGACAAGGAAGGTCATTAAAAGGGGCAAAACTCACTTAATAAATGTTTAGCAGCGCAAATTGTGGCTGTAAGTTGAGGACTTATCTGTACTGACTCTGCAACATATGGGAGCATCCACAGAGAAAACATGTGATCACCTCGCTTAAGGACCGTCACGACTTGTGACCATAATGGGCAGGCTTTGTAGTCATTAGTCGAGATCTACTTATAGACTAACAGGTTCAAAGTAACCGTAAATTCAGCCCTGATCAAACACACGATACCTGATAAAAATTAAATTACTTAAAATCTGTCAAGAGAAACGTTCAAGTGCTCCTCATTAAGATCTTGAGCAGCTTAAGAAAGTTCAATATTTCAAATAAGATCAACGTACGTTTGACGTGTCCCCGTTCTCGGCGGCGGCTGCAACACAAGGAAAAATAGCTAAAATTAAAACTTTTAAAACTGTTAAAACGTTCAACAGGTGTGCCGATTTTACTGTCTTGCTTGCTTTCTTTTTTTTTACCGTTTCACACCTCTCTCTGAAATCCTCACAGGGCTGCCAAAACGACAAACCGTTTGAAACGACAAAGACGATAATATTCATGGTTAAAAAAGAGAAATCTTGTCTAGAAACACCAGTGACGCCTTGTCTGCTCCGATTTCTCACTCTTTGCATGCACAAAGAGGACAACGGCGACCGAATCGGATGGCGTTCCGGTTTCAAGCAGATGACATTACTGCCCGCGGTGCCTCTGCCGGCCAAAACGGGCCGCCTGTTTTCAGCCGGCAGAGTGCTACAGGAGGCCGTCCAGGCTGAAAATGAGGCACGGGGGGGCTGTCCAAGCCCCCCATGCCCCATTTTGGCTGGCAGGGTGCTGCATGAGGCATCCATCCCGTCTCCCTCCCACTCTCCGCCCCCACCCTGGCCGGCCCTCGGGGGGGAGGACTATGTTGTGGTCTGCCAGCAGCCTGCGGAGCTCGCAGCTGAGTCGGACAGCGATGAGGCTGAGGAAGGCCCGGATGAGAGCTCTGCGTCGGAGGCAGAAATGGGGCCAGGGCCATCGGGGAGTGATGTACGGACTTCAGAGCCTCCAGAGGCTGACAGTAGAGAGGCAGAGGAACAGGAGGAGCCTGTTCCTGGTGCACGTATGAGAAGAGCTGCCAGAAGGCAAGAGCAGCTACAGCACAGAGGACGACTCAGAAGTAAGGCCAGGAGATGATTGGCCCCCTCCCATAAGGCTTAAAAGACCAGCAACGGCTCTTGGCCTCTTTGCCGGAAAACAACGTTGAGAGAATTGCTTCTTGTTTCACAGTATTCATTTCTTGTCGGCGTCTTCTGCTTTTGAACTTTTGCCAAGAAAAGCCTTTGGCAGTTTGCCTAATTATCCCAAGGTCGGTGATAAACTGTGGAATGGTGTTTTGAAGAATTTGCTTTAATTTAGTTTGGACTACGCTGAGAATGAATTAATTCTCAGCTGTTCCAATAAAGTCTGTTTGTTTTCGAACTGTTTGTATTTAATACTAACTACTTGGGCCTGGGTCACAACAGACTACAATGTTGATCCAGGCCTCAAAGAAATCCAGTTTGACACCCCTGTACTACTGGATGCAGAAACGTGAGGTAATTTCTGGTTTTTCAGGACCGGTTTTGGGGAAAGAAACCAAAAATGACTGATTTGTTTATTCCTAGCTTGGGAAATTTACCATTTTGTTCTTGTAGGGGAGCGTCCTGCAAAACCTCTTGGCTTGTCTCCGGAACCTTCTTCAGAAGAGAAGAAGGTAGGTCTTCACTTCGTTTCGGAGCCTGCAAGGTATCTACCTGGACCTGAAACGATTCGTAGAGAACATCATTAGCACATCTCCTCAAAGTAGTACCACTCTTTTGAAGTTGTCCAGACTAGGAAACAGAAGAACAGCGCTATGTTTGATTGAGAATAGGCCCATGGTGGGCTGCAACTGGTTCTGTGAGCGCGGGCCTCGCGCGCATACACGATCTTTGCGTGCTCGCACATCTAATGCGCTTGTGCGGAGCATTCAAAATGCAGCAATTTGAAGCTCAGCTGCTTACCTTCTGAGGCCACCCCGGTAAGTAGAACAGCGGAGGCACGGAAATCAGCTGGACCAGAAAGAAGGAAATATAGGACAGGATAGGGTGGGCGGAGCCAGCTGATTCTCGGTACTACCGGTTCGGATGAACCGGACTGAACCAGCAGCAGCCCACTGCTGGAATAGGCTATATTAACTGAATTTTGCAAATCCCGTGACGTTGCCTTATATCTCAATGAACCAGCGTAATACCTCTTGGTACTAACGCTTCCTAATACTATGTCCTTATCTGGGTTTTAGGAATGCTATTTTTTTCTTTCTGTGACAGCTTCGGAGTATTCCTCTCAAGATCACCTCAGTGGCTCTCTACAAAAGAATAGATCAGCATTTTCATTTTTGATCATTTCCGGAATAGTCACTGAAGGGACTGACGTTCTACCGATAGAGGGGAAGATTTGTAGCTCGTGGTTGAACGGTATGTGTGTGTGTGTGTGTCCTTTGTGCTCTCTGAGTAGTGGCTTTCTTGCAGACATTCCCTTACCCAACTAGGTAACATCATCAGGGATGCAAGGGAGGCGGGTTTGCAGAGAGATGGAAGAGGAGGAGCAGGAACAGGAGCAGGAGGAGGATTATGGGGTCCTTAGTGCTCTCTGAGCTTGATGGTATCTCTCTCTCTCCTCCCCCTCTGTCTCCCTCCCACCATCTCTCTCCCCCTCTCTCTCCCTCCATCTCTCTCTCCCCCCTCCCTCCCCCTCTCTCTCCCTCCATCTCTCTCCCCCTCTCTCTCCCTCCCTCTCTCTCTCTCCCTCTCTCCCTCCATCTCTCTCTCCCCCTCCCTCCCCCTCTCTCCCTCCATCTCTCTCTCCCCCTCTCTCTCCATCTCTCTTCCCCTCCCTCCCTCTCCATCTCTCCCCTCCCTCTCCCCCTCCCTCCCCCTCCCTCCATCTCTCCCTCCCTCCATCTCTCTCTCTCCTCTCCCTCCCCCTCTCTCTTCCCCTCTCTCTCCCTCCCATCTCTCTCTCTCCTCTCCCTTTCTTCTTCCCTCCAAACCTCTCTCTTTCCCCTCTCCCTCCCTCCCGTTCTCTCTCCCCCCTCTTCCCCTTCTCTCTCCCTCTCTCCATCCTCCTCTCCCCCTCCCTCTCCCCCCTCTCCCTCCCTTTCTCCCCACGCTCTCTCCCTCCATCTCTCTCTCCCTCCTCGCCCTCTGTCTCCCTCTCCCTCACTCCAAGTCTCTCTCTTCCCCCTCTCCCTCCCGCTCTCTCCCCCCTCTTCCTCCTCTCTCTCCCCCTCCCTCCTCCCTCCATCTCTCCTCTCCTCCTCCTCTCTCTCCCCTCCCTCCCCCTCCATCTCTCCCCTCCCCCTCCCTCTCCCTCCCTTCCTCCCCGCTCTCTCTCCCTCCTCGCCCTCTCTCTCCTCTCCCTCCCTCCCTCAAGTCTCTCTTCCCCCTCTCCCTCCCTCCCGCTCTCTCTCCCCGTCCCACTCTCTCTCTCTCTCCATCTCTCTCCCCCCCTCTCTCTCCCTCCAAGTCTCTCTCTTCCCCCTCTCCCCTCCCTCCCACTCTCTCTCCCCCCTCCCGCTCTCCCTCTCCGTGTGTTCATTTGTAAGAAAACACACATTTCCCTGAGAGAGAGATAACATTTCACTTGTTTCTCAGACACCCATTTTAAGTTACCTTCTGGCTAACCGAAGCGTCTTTCTCCTTCTGTTCTCCTCTTTCAAGGGTTTTCGCCTCTTGAGTTGAATTCAGCTCAGGATGTGACTCTTTTCGTTGGAATGATTGTGGAAGGCAGATATCTCCACGTTGGCCGCCAGGAGGTTGGCACAGGAAAACATCGTGCTGGATTCCGCGTGGTCTGGACCTAATCCATTAAAAAGACCAAAGGAAAAAGAATCAAAATTAAACCACCCATTTGGTCAAACAAAAATAATTTATTTGAATCATAGTTTGATCTAAAGAAAAACAACACAAAACTCAGAACCATTGCTATGTCCCGGGATCATGTGATTAGCTTTCGCGACTTTCTGACAAGTAAAGTCAATGGGGAAAACCAGATTCAATTAACAATTTATCAATTGCTGTGATTTATTTATATACAAGAATATCAATGGTCACTGCAAATTGGCACCAGAAAAGAATAGATGTCATGGCCCTATCAGAGGAGGAGGAGGAGGAGGAGGAGGAGGAGGAGGAGGAGGAGGAGGAGGAGGAGAGGAGGAGGAATACTGTGGGGTCCTTGTTGCTCTCTGAGCTTAGCTGTTTTCTTGCAGACATTCCATGACCTTAATAGATAACATCATCAGTGTTAGAAGGAAGTGGGGCCTGTGGAGGAGGAGGAGGAGGAGGAGAAGGAGAAAGAGGAGGAGGAGGAGAAGAAGGAGGAGGAGGAGGAGAAGGAGGAGGAGGAGGAGAAGGAGGAGAAGAAGAAGGAGGAGGAGGAGGAGGAGGAGAACAAGGAGAAGAAAGAGAAGGAGAAGGAGAAGGAGGAGGAGGAGGAGAAGAAGAAGAAGAAGAGGAGGAGGAGGAGGAGAAGGAGAAGAAGAAGGAGGAGAAGAAGGAGAAGGAGAAGAAGGAGAAGGAGAAGGAGGAGAAGGAGAAGAAGAAGGAGGAGGAGGGGGAGAAGAAGAAGGAGGAGGAGAAGAAGAAGAAGGAGAAGGAGGAGAAGAAGAAGGAGAAGGAGGGAAAGAAGAAGGAGGAGGAGAAGGAGGAGGAGAAGGAGAAGAAGGAGAAGGAAGAGAGGAAGAAGAAGCTCGCTGAGCTTAGCTGTTTTCTTGCAGACGTTTCATGACCTAACTAGATAAGATCATCAGTGCTAGAAGGGAATGGGGCATGCAGAGGGCAGGAGGAGGAGGAGGACTGAAGGGTCCTTGGAGTTTCAGGTTTTTTTTTTTTTTGTTGCAGATGTTTCATGACCCTACTAGGGAACATCATCAGTGATAGAAGGGAGGAGGAGGAGGAAGAGGAGGAGGAACTGGAATCGTCCCGAGAGGGATGGCATGACTCCCTTGCCATGTTTGGAGAGGCCAGGAGCTGAGGACGATGCTGTCCCAGGACCCTCAGGCATTGGGGGAGGTGGTCAACCGGACGGAGTAACAAGGGGACAATTGGCTACTGACAAGCAGCCAATCTCCTCCGATGGGGAATGAGTTTTCATGGCATCACAGAACATAGAATAATATTAGCGTTGGAAGGGACCTCAGAGGTCTTCTATTCCAACCCCCTGCTCGAGTGATTTGCCGCTGCTTTCTTTAACCTCCCACTTTCGGGAAGGTTAATTTAAAAAAAAAAAAAGGGCATCGTGGGCACCAGCTACAGAAAAAACAGCCCCCCTGCTTTCACGTCAGGAGAAAATAATTCTTCTTGAACGTTTTTCCTGCATCAAGCTGTGTTAAAAATTGCAAACTATAAAACAAAGCGGGCATGTTTTTGCCTACCCCCTTATTATTAATTTAGAAGCAAATAACTACATCTCGAATCATGCAGTTAGTTAATTACTTTCTAGGGATTTCTTAATTTAGGGATACCCACGATTCGTATCCAAAGCTGCTGAGAATTTGCGGGTGTTTCTTTTCTCCCGCTTGTCTGACGGGAGTGGAAAAAAAATCGAGCGCGACTTCTTTAGCAACGGAAATGCTACTCCTGACTTGCGTTACTACTTCTGTTTGATCTGGAGGAAAGGATTTCTTTAATTTCCTTGCATGACCGAGAAGTAAGATGAGGATAGTTTTAAGCAGAGAGGAGCTTAATCCAACCTTATTTGGGTTTAGCACAGTGGTGAAATTCAATTTTTTTTTACTACCGTTTCGGTGGGCATGGCTTGGTGGGCGTGGCATGGTGGGCGTGGCAAGGGAAGGATACTGCAATCTCTCCATTCCTTCCCCACTTCTGGGGGAAGGATATTGCAAAATCCCCATTCCCTCCCCACTCTGGGACCAGCCAGAGGTGGTATTTGCCGGTTCTCCAAACTACTCAAAATTTCCACTACTGGTTCTCTGAACTACTCAAAATTTCCACTACCGGATCTCCGAACTACTCAAAATTTCCGCTACCGGATCTCCAAACTACTCAAAATTTCCGCTACCGGGTCTCCGAACTACTCAAAATTTCCACTACCAGTTCTCCAGAACCTGTCTGTTGTGGTCCGCCAGCAGCCTGAGGAGCTGGCAGTGGAGTCGGACAGCGATGAGGCCGAGGAAGAACATGGGCCAGTCCTGGAGGCTGGGGAAGGCCCGGATGAAGGCTCTGCATCCGAGGCAGAGATGGGGCCAGGGCCATCGGGGAGTGATGTGCGGACTCCGGAGCCTCCAGAGGCTGACAGTATAGAGGCAGAGGAACAGGAGGAGCCTGTTCCTAGTGCATGCATGAAAAGAGCTGCCAGAAGGCAAGAGCAGCTGAAGCAAAAAGGACAACTCAGGAGTAAGGCCAGGAGATGATTGGCCCCTCCCATAAGGCTTAAAAGACCAGCAACGGCTCTTGGCCTCTTTGCCGGAAAACAACGTTGATAGACTTGTTCTTGTCTTGCTGCACTTATCTCTGGTCGGCGTCTTCTGCTTCTGAACTTTTGCCAAGAGAAGCCTTTGGCAGTTTGCCTAATTATACCAAGGTTGGTGATTAGACTGAAGAATTTGTGTTATGAGGAATTTGTTTTAATTTAGTTTGGTTTAGTTTAATTTAGTTTTCCTATCACCTTCTTCCTCCTCTTTCTTCTTCTTTCTTCTTCTTCTCCTCCTCCTCCTCTTCTTCTCCTTTCTCTATCATCTTCCTCCTCCTCCTCCTCCTCCTTCTCTTCCTTCTCCTCCTCTTCTTCTTCCTCCCTCCTCCTCTCCACAAAACCCACTCCCTTCTACCTCTGATGATTGATGACGTGACCAACTTGGGTAATGAAACGTCTGCAGGAAAGCCACCAAGCTTGGAGGACCCCAAAAACCCCACAGTTCAACCCTGAGCTGAGTAAACAGGAGTGTTTACTGTACTTTACTGTAAGAGCCGAGGTGGCACAGTGGTTAGAGTGCTGTACTGCAGCTACTTCAGCTGACTGCTAGTTCAGCAGATCAAATCTCACCGGCTCAAGGTTGACTCAGCCTTCCATCCTTCCGAGGTGGGTAAAATGAGGACCCAGATTGTTGGAGGGGAAATATACTATTTAGTACACTGTCGATTGTTGTAAGCCGCCCAGAGTCCTTGGAGAGTGGGCGGCATAAAAATATGATTAATAAATTAACAATAAATACTTTAAAAAGGCCCATTTGGAAAATCCTACCCAGAAACGTTTCTTCCGATTCAGTTCTCTCTTTTCGGCGGGCTGGTTCAGCTTCTTCCGTGAAGGAGTCCTGCAGAAAAAAGTATTGAATTCATGGTTAAAGCAGAACCCAAAGAAATGTATTCATTCATTTATTCTGCTTCTATCCTGCCACAATCAAACGACTCTCTAGAGTTTGAATATGCTTTTAGGATTCAGTAACTTGGCATTTCGATTTAAAGAAAGCAATTTGGGGTCAAGTAAGATCGCAAATTAACGAAGGTTTTAAATTTTTTTCAAGGGTTGCTTTGTTAGGCCAAACACATGCAGGTAAGTCCTTGACTTACAACAGCTTGTTTAGTGACCGTTCAAAGTTACGGCGGCACTGGGAAAAGTGAATTATGTCCATTTTTTTACCCTTATGACCATCGCAAGATCCTCGTGGTAAAGGGGGAAACCAGATTAAATTTAACAACCGTGTTACTAACTGAACAATTGCAGTGATTCGCTTAACAACTGTGGCAGGAAAGGTCGTAAAATGGGGCACTTAACAAATGTTTCGCTTAGCAGTAGGAATTCTGGGCTCAATTGCGGTCGTACATCGAGGACTTCCGGCAGGCCTGGGGCCGTTGATCTCGCTGTTGCAATCTTGCGAGATCCGGCCATGAATGGTATGCATGGGCTTTTAATGTTTTTTTTAAAAAAATGTTTTTATGATGTTTTTTAAAATAATTTTCCTATGTTCTTTGTTGTATTATTTTTGTTGTAAGCCGCCCAGAGTCCCTTGGGAGTTGGGCGGCATAGAAATTCGATAAATTAAATTAAATTAAATTAAATTAAATTAAATTAAATTAAATTAAATTAAAAAATTAAATAAAATTATTAAATTAATTAAAATAATTAAATTAAATTAATTAAAAAATTAAATTAAATTAAATTAAATTAAATTAAATAATTAAATTAAATTAAATTAAATTAAATTAAATTAAATTAAATTAAATTAAATTAAATTAAATTAAATTAAATTAAATTAAATTACCTGTATTGACTTCAAACAATAAACGGATAGTTTAGAAGTCGACTACCTGGAGGCCTAAGTTTGCAAATACTTGGAGAACCATTTATCTTCCCCCACATGGCTCCTGCTAACCCAAGTATCTGGCCCTTACAAGTTGCTCTCTATGTACACCGTGTTCGATTAAGCTCTTCTGAACCGGCTCAGGAGTGGCGGAATCCGCGCTTCCTTCCGTGGATCCCCCCTGCGATTCGACCACGCGGTCAGACTTGGTGGAAAGGCTGGGGGAAGGTTCAAAGAGAAAGGCTGAGCAGTCCTTGTCTGGCTCGTCTTCCACGCCGTTGCTCGCTTCTCCGTTCACGGAGATCTTTCCATCCACCTGCATTTCAAAACCCAAAAGCAGATGAGAATTATAAGGCTTGGAGGCCATCTTGGGTTAGTTCTAATGAGAAGGAAAATGGTTAGGACTACAAAATTGCCCTCTCTATATCTCATCTATCACTGTTGGTCCATCTGTCCATCCATCCATCATCTACCTCATCTATCACTTGTCTGTCTGCCCGTCCATCTGTCCGTCCATCCATCCATCCATCATCTATCTCATCTATCATCTGTCTGTCCCTCTGTCCATCCATCCATCAATCCACCCATCCATCCCATCCATCATCTCTCATCTGTCTATCTGTATGTCCATCCATCCATCCATCCATCCATCCATCCATCCATCCATCCATCCTTTTCACCTGTCTATCTGTCCATTCATCATCTATCTCATCTCTCACCTGTCGGTCTCTGTCTATCCATCCATCCATCTGTCCATCCACCCATCAACTATCTCATCTATCTATCATCTATTATATCTGTCCATCCACCCATCCATCTAATCCATCATGTTTCATCTGTCTATGTGTATGTCCATCCATCCATCATCTTTCACCTCTATCTGTCCATCCATCATCTATCTCATCTATCATCTGTCTGTCTCCATCCATCCATCCATCCCTCCATCCATCCATCATCTATCTCATCTATCTATCTATCTATCTATCTATTGTCCGTCCATCCATCCATCCATCCATCCATCTATCCATCCATTATCTGTCTCATCTATCTATCTATCTATTGTCCGTCCATCCATCCATCCATCCATCCATCCATCCATCCATCCCTATCTACCTAAACTTGCATGCTGCCCATCTCGCTGGGGGCCTTCTTCTTTTCATAACTTAACCCACCTTGAAGTTTCTCAAAATCTCCTGGGTATCCTTCGGCTGGGAGTAAGGCTTGGGCGTCATCAGAGGCATAGCCATGGAGCCTGAGGGTCTGCTTGAGGAGGGGGAGCCGGTGGACGTGCTGGCCTCTGATCCATTGGTGGGGATGATGGTGGCTTCAAACTTGGCAGTGAATTTTGGGGCTGGGAGTGACTGCTGCCGTAAATATCGGAGGGGGTTAGGGTCCTTGGATGGGGAGGATGAATTTGGCTCAACAGAATGGCTTCTTTCCAAAAGTTTTGGCATCTCCAAGCGTTCAAGGACAGCTTCGCTAATGGTGAACCTCTCGATGTAATGCTGGAGTATCCTATCTGCCTCTTCTTGAGATCTGGCATTCTTGTAGGCTTCGTGAAGTTCTCTTTCACGCTTCTCTCTGTTTTTGAAAGTAACGGAAACAAGATGGCGGAATGTTTACTGACGCTCCTCAACCATCCAGCTCAGGGTCGCCCCAAAAGCTCTTCTTTTCAAAAAAGCCAACGGGACTTCCTTGGTTTTCCTTTGAGAACATCTCGCTCCTCATTCAAGAAGCTTCCACACTTCTGAGAACCGAAGAAACATTTTGAAAGAAAAATCAAGGAAGTCCAGTCTGCCTTTGGAAAAGCAGTTTTGGGAGAAGATTGCAGAGCGATACATCTGGACCATGAGTGGGCAACTACCATATTTTTCGGACTATAAAACGCAGCTAGATTTTGAAGAGGAAAACAAGAAAAAAAAATAGTTTTTGGCCTCCGCGTGTCCAGTTTTTGTCCTCCCCGGGCCCCAGGAGCACTCTGCAGGCCTCCCAAACCTTCTGTGCGTTCCGTTTTTAGCCTCCCGAATCCCACACGCATCTCATTTTTGTCCTCCCCAGCCCCCAGGAAGTGTGGGGGTAATAATATGTTTTATAAACATGGAATTGTCACATGTCATGACCTTTTGGTCACAAGGCAAATATGTCCAGACTGTGGGGTCCTTGGTGCTCTCTGCGCTGGCTTGTTTTCTTGCAAACGTTGTGTTACCCAACTAGGTAACCTCATCAGTGCTATAGGGGAGTAAGGGTTTGCTCTGAGGATGTTACCAAGGTTGGGTTGTGAAACGTTTGCAAGAAAATCACCAAGTTCAGAGAGCACCAAGGACCCCACAGCTCAACTCTGAGCTACAAATATTCTTTTCTATTGATTCCCGGACCAACATTTTTTTTAGCCACGGTTTCTAAATATGCGAGGATTGCCTGGGCTCATTCATACACCCAACCCAACCCTTATTATGACCTGGTGGGCCTTCTGCAACCAGCCTTGGTTTCCTTAAGGCTACGTACTTCTCCTCCACAATCTCTCGGTACGTCTTGATGCTCTTCCGTCTCTCATTGCTTCCCTCTCCTCCAGTGAGTAACTGCTCCATCTTTTTCCTCTCGGCTTCCTTTTTCAGCAAATCCTGAGAAGCGCTCCTCCGACGGTTTTTCCACCGGGCTAAATCCTACATTAAAATCACAGGGTGGAGAGGAAACACCCAAGAATGAATATTTTACAGAGCAGGTAATTATAAGGCTAACTCTGAGCTTCCCAACCTTTTCAAACTTGGTGGCCTGGCGGCACGAGTGGCCTGCTTGGGGTTTGCAGGGTTTCGGGAGAACCTCTAGTTAAGATTTGGTGCAGTTTGGAGAAACCCCCAAATCCCACTCCTGGCTGGCCCCGCCCACCCCTCCCCTCCCCTCCCAGGAGTCCCCACACGGCCCGTTTTGGATGCAGGTAAGTACAGAGTGCGTACAGAGGCTCGGGTAGGGCGAAATTCGAGAAGGCCAGAAATGGCCTGTTTTTGACCTGCAGAGGGCCTCCGGAGGGCTCCGGAGCCTGGGGAGGTCATTTTACCTTCCCAGAGGCTCAAGGAAAGCCTCCGGAGCCAGGGAGGGCAAAATCGCTCCGCCCTCCGTGGTGCAGGAGGCTGACTAGGCCACACCCACTATGGCCACGCCCACCCCAGCAACCAGGCAGAGAACCCTTTACTAAAATTTTTGAAGCCCACCCCTGCCTGGCGTGTTGTGTGTGTGTGTGTGTGTGTGTGTGTGTAAATAGAATAGGATTAGGGTCAGACTGTCAAATTTTAAAAAATAAATAGAAGAAGGCTGCATTTTCACATTGTTTCCTTCTTGTGCATGAACACGGCAGAAGTCAAACGTCTGATGAGCTCATGATAGCTATCACTTATAATATGTTGTGTTAGTCTTATAAAGTGGGATCCGGTTTTTTTTATTATTATTATTATTATGGTCTGCCACAAGCTAACACAATTCTCCTCCTATAATTCCCAGTTAGAAAATGTAAAACATAGTTAGGGCTGGAAGGGAGCTCAGTGGCAGGAGACTTTATACCAGAGGTGAAATGCTCCCGGTTCGAACCGGATCGCCCCAATCCGGTAGCGATGGAGGCGGGTGGTTCGGAGAACTGGTAGCAAAAAATCCCTGCCCCCCCCCACATTGTCCAGTTGAGCCGCGCAATCATCAGAGACTTTTTTAAAAAAATTAAAAGCATTTTTTTCTACAACCTGTTTGACTGAAAAAATGCTTTTAAAAGTAAAAAAAAAAGCCTCTGATGATCGCGCGGCTCAGCTGGGATCATCAGAGGCTTTTAAAAGCATTTTTTCTACAACCTCTTCGGCCGAAGAGGTTATAGAAAAAAATGCTTTTAAAAGGAAAAAAAAGCCTCTGCCGATCAGGCAAGTCAGCTGGGATCGTCAGAGGCTTTAAAGGCATTTTTTTTACAACCTCTTCAGCTGCAAGCGCACCAGGGGCAACCCACCACTGGCCCTACCCCAAAAATAAGCCCCAGTTAAGATCGTCAACCAGACGGAGGCTTTTAGTACTGTATTCCCCCCCAAAATAAGACCTAACTGGAAAATAAGCCATAATGTGTCTTTTGGAGCAAAAATTAATATAAGACCCCGTCTTATTTTGGGGGAAACATGGTAGCTCGGCCTGTCATAGCGCTACTACGGACCCCACTACTCACATCTTGCCATTGATCCTCGTCTTCCTTCAGCTGATTGTGAATGATCTGAAACTTTTCATGGCGATCTTTACTGTGAGGTTGATTGACAGTGCCCTCGTCTGGGCATCTCATGTCGAACATGCTTACGCTCCTGGAAAGGAAAGGAAGATTGTCAACAGCGGATTCTGAAGATTTCAGCCACAGGAGGGGGCTGCAGGAAAGGACAATGGCTCTGCTTCCATGGAAAGCTGTGAAGTCCCTTAGCTTAAGATGCCTTCGGCCAAACATCTAAGAATCAGAGATTTCCTCATGCCAGGGTTGGGAAAAGCATGGTCCTTTTGTGACTTGTGGACTTCAACTCCCAGAATTCCTGAGCCGGCCATTTTAATATGTGAAACTCAGGTTCGAAGGCAGGGATGGGGAAACTAATGGTCCTTTTGTGACTTGTGGACTTCAACTCCCAGAATTCCTGAGCCGGCCATTTTAATATGTGAAACTCAGGTTCGAAGGCAGAGATGGGGAAACCATGATCCTTTTACGACTTGTGGACTTCAACTCCCAGAATTCCTGAGCCGGCCATTTTAATACGCGAGACTCAGGTTCGAAGGCAGGGATGGGGAAACTAATGGTCCTTTTGTGACTTGTGGACTTCAACTCCCAGAATTCCAGAGCCAGCTCGGGAATTCTGGGAGTCGAAGTCCACATGTCGAGGTTCCCCACACCCCTGTTTTAAGTGGAAGTGCCCAGAAGCAGCCATACTAATCACATACGTGCAAGTTGGCCGCTTAAGCCAAACCGAAGCATGTCCAAAGCTATTTTTTATTTTGCTCAGCGTGATGGCATGAATTCGGCACAATCTTCTTATAGATAACCTTGTTAAATTTCTCAACTGTCCCTTCTCTTTTGGGTTGAAAAATGTCAAAACCCCCGTTGCTCGTACCGGTGTTTTTCAAACTTTCCTGAAGATTTATTTCTAAATTTAGAAGGCCTCCTCAGTTAGAAGTTCAATGATGGTGCTATCAATTCTTCATCTCTGCAGCAGTGGTGGGTTTCAAATTTTTTCTGTGGGTGTGGCTTGGTGGGCGTGGCATGGCTTGGTGGGTGTGGCTTAGTGGGCATGGCAGGGGAAGGATACTGTAAAATCTCCATTCCCACCCCATCTAGGGGAAGGTTACTGTAAAATCTCCATTCCCACCCCACTCCAGGGGAAGGTTACTATAAAATCTCCATTCCCCACCCCACTCTAGGGGAAGGATACTGTAAAATCTCCATTCCCACCCCACTCCAGGGGAAGGTTACTGTAAAATCTCCATTCCCACCCCACTCCAGGGAAGGTTACTGTAAAATCTCCATTCCCACCCCACTCCAGGGGAAGGATATTGTAAAATCTCCATTCCCACCCCACTCCAGGGGAAGGTTACTATAAAATCTCAATTCCACCTCACTCCAGGGGAAGGATACTGTAAAATCTCCATTCCACCCCACTCCAGGGGAAGGTTACTGTAAAATCTCCATTCCCACCCCATTCCAGGGGAAGGATATTGTAAAATCTCCATTCCCACCCCACTCCAGGGGAAGGATATTGTAAAATCTCCATTCCCACCCCACTCCAGGGGAAGGTTACTATAAAATCTCAATTCCCACCTCACTCCAGGGGAAGGATACTGTAAAATCTCCATTCCCACCCCACTCAGGGGAAGGTTACTGTAAAATCTCCATTCCACCCCACTCCAGGGGAAGGATATTGTAAATCTCAATTCCCACCCCACTCCAGGGGAAAAATACTGTAAAATCTCCATTCCCACCCCACTCCAGGGGAAGGTTACTATAAAATCTCAATTCCCACCTCACTCCAGGGGAAGGATACTGTAAAAATCTCCATTCCCACCTCACTCCAGGGGAAGGTTACTGTAAAATCTCCATTCCCACCCCACTCCAGGGGAAGGATACTGTAAAATCTCCATTCCCACCCCACTCCAGGGGAAGGTTACTGCAAAATCCCCATTTCCTCCCAATCAGATGGGTCTCGGGAGGCAGAGAATAGATGAGGGCAGGGCCAGTCAGAATTTTTACTACCGGTTCTCCGAACCACTCAAAATTTCCGCTACCGGTTCTCCAGAACTGGTCAGAACCTGCTGAAACCCACCTCTGCTCTGCAGGGGTAACCTGGAACTACGCAGGCAATGCTGAACCCTGCTAAGAAGTCCGTGTGACTTCGTTGCCTGATAAATAATAGACTTTAAGCCAGAATTTCTAGTTTTCGATGTCTAAAAAGTTTCCTAATGCAAAAGTCCAGCTATTTTTTGGACAGCAGCTTTGGGATATGGAACTGGATTCCCGGTTTCGATTTCTGAAATACTTAAAATGACACTATATAGAGACACTATATAGAGACAGTTGAGAAGAATGTAACAGCTAGTGTTTTAGGTTAAAATGCCAGCAGTGAGTAAGCTGTGGTAGCCATCTCTGTTGAATGCACATGCAGAATTTTTTATTTTTTATTTATTTTTTGTTATATTTTGTTAAGAAGCACATCCTGGAAAACATTGAGACATATTAACACATAATAAAACAAGGAGCAATTTCTCTATTCTATGACAATTTCTCTTGCACAATGAAGCCAAGAAGCTGATTATGAATGTTAAGCAAGATTAAAAAAGATTATATTGCAAAGGTAGCACAGAGAAAACAACTCGAAGACACCGTATGCAGCTGATGGTTTTTCAGGTACATATAGACAGGATTTCTGGCTGCTTTTTGTTTTTGCTTTTTTTTTTTTTTTTTGGTAAAAAAGCAGGTTAATTTTATAAGCGCGTCCATTTTGCCTGTCATCCTTCCGTGAATTGAAACAGCTCTAGTGAAATGGACCAAACACCACGCAGAGATTGTTTTATCGCTGTGTGGAATTTCCATCTATTTTGCCAAGAATTTGCAAACAGGCTCCTAAGTTGAAGTTAGGCAAGGCTGTGCTACCCTCCAGATGTTTTAGACTACAAACCCCACGATCCTGGAGTCAATCGTATTGACTGGGATGAGGAGACGGGGTCCAAAATATCTGGAGAGCATCAGTTTGCCAATCTTTCTTCTAAAGTATTTTTTTGGAAAAATACTATGGCCTCTTCTTCTGAGGCGACCTGAATTGTCAATGAACGGATTTGTCATTGGCTGTGGTTTTGTTTCGGTCGCTGTTTATTCGAACGAGAAATAGAGCTGAGAAAATATCTACAGACCCCTCACATCCTGGACGTAAACTGTTTCCACTCCTCCCCTCAGAACTTTACTATAGGGCATTGCATGCCAAAACAAGTAGACACAGAGACTGTTATCATCTTTCTGATCTTCTCATTTCTCATCTTTTCTCGTCTTCCCTACTACCTTCTCCTAATGGTATGCTATGATTTATCACTTGTTGTTGGTATCTTATGACTAATGATTGCAACTATGACCTGTGACCTATCACTTTGTTGTTGTATATGTTTACACTGAGAGCTTATGCAACGGAAACAAACTCCTTGTGTGCCCAATCACTCTTGGCCAATAAAGAATTGGGTTGTATTGTATCGTATCCCATCCCAATTTATTTTATTCTGTTCTACTCTGTTCTATTCTATTCCACTCCACCCATTTATTTCTATTCCATTCCATTCCATTCCATTCCATCCCATTTATTTCTGTTCTGTTCTGTTCTGTTCTGTTCTGTTCTATTCTGTTCTATTCCACTCCACCCATTTATTTCTATTCCATTCCATTCCATCCCATCCCATCCCATCCCATCCCATCCCATCCCATCCCATCCCATTTATTTCTGTTCTGTTCTGTTCTGTTCTGTTCTGTTCTGTTCTGTTCTGTTCTATTTATTCTATTCTATTCTATTCTATTCTATTCCACCCATTTATTTCTATTCTATTCTATTCCATTCCATTCCATCCTATCCCATTTATTTCTTATTCTATTCTATTCTATTCTATTCTATTCTATTCTATTCTATTCCATTCCATTCCATTCTATTCTATTCCACCCCATTTATTTCTATTCTATTCTATTGCATTCCATTTTATTCCATTCCATTCCATTCCATCCCATTTATTTCTATTCTATTCTATTCTATTCTATTCTGTTGTCTGTTTCTGTTCTGTTCTGTTCTATTCTATTCTATTCTATTCTATTCTATTCTATTCTATTCTATTCTATTCTATTCTATTCTATTCTATTCTATTCTATTCTATTCTATTCTATTCTATTCCATTCCATTCCATTCCATTCCATTCCATTCCATTCCATTCCATTCCATTCCATTCCATTCCATTCCATTCCATTCCATTCCACCCCATTTATTTCTATTCTATTCTATTCTATTCTATTCTATTCTATTCTATTCTATTCTATTCTATTCTATTCTTCATTCCATTATTCTATTCTATTCTATTCTATTCTATTCTATTCTATTCTATTCTATTCCACTCTCTATTCCATCCCATCCCATCCCATCCCATTTAATTCTATTCTATTCCATTCCATTCCTTCAAGACAAAATTTCGTATTCCAAAGAAAATGGACCTCCTGCTAAAAATAGCGGTCTCCCTTCCCACCTCACATCCGCGATGGCTAAGGTTGTGAGGACCTGCATTTTGGCATTATTTAGAGGAGTATTTTGTTGCCTTAATTACTACTGTCTGTTGATGAACGGAAGGCAGGAAGAGAAATAATACTGAAATGCCAAGAGGATGGAATACATTGAATTAAATCTTTTTGTTAGGATGCTTGTAGAAGTTTCCGTTCCAGACACTAGCAGGAGCTGGTGCATTAAAATACCAGCCCCATTAATCTTTCCTGTCGATGCCTATTTAATAATCAAGGTCCTTAGCTCATTCTTTCTATCTAAAAACTTTATTAAATAAAAATACCCATTTCTCTGTAAAGAGGAAGCCAGCTATAAAGAAAACAGCCTCAAAAAAATATATATATCAATGCCTGTTAAGCATCCATATTCAATAACGATTGGGGTTTTTTTTTCTAAACAACTTACATGTCATCTGCATCAGGAATTCAATTGATTAATTGATACAGCAATGACAGACTTTGTCTATCGTAGTGCATGCCAATTACAGCCACAGAAACAGGATACAAAAAAAAAAAAAAGACACCAAGATA